CTGCCCACTGAACATTCCCATGTGTGCTCAGTCCCCGATGCAGCAGCCACTCCAAAGTACTTCTAATAATTGTTCCTAGGTTATTTTGTCTCCTGTCTCGGAATCGAAGACGGCATAGACGTGCTTCACCATGCTTTACTCCCATGTCATGAAATCGTGCCAGTGTCAGGGATTCCTTTTTTATCAACTGTCCCAGTCCGTACAGCGTTGACGATATCTGCTCAGTCCATGCTTCTTCCCACATGATTTAGTGCCTTGTCTGCCAGTTGGTCCGCTCGCTCATTACCCTTTACGCCCGCATAAAACTCTATGTGGTGCTGAGGTCTGTCCTAATTTTTGCGGTGCTACCTAGAGAACAATCTGAGCATAGGTACGTTTGTTTTCTCAATGGTTGTAATTATTCAGTGCTCCGTTTTACTTCTAACGCAAACCTGAGTCTGAAGAATCTCAGCGCAGTGCACGAACTTCGTTGCTCCGGCGAGGATCCTAAAATACTTTGGGTGGATTTTCAACTCCAAATTTTGCCCGTGCAGCGCAGTTAGGCTACTCTTTTTCTTTCGATTTCCAGCTGCCAGGGTTTTTTTTTACGTGCGCAGCAATACATACGGGCGTCCGATCTTACTACCCATTGACCATAGGAAATTAGTAGTAGAAGTCCACGTGTAAAAATCCTAGCCTTCACCGGGGTTTGAACCCGGGTCCTCCAGCACTCGAGGCGAATGCCATGCCTAGAGACCACTCAGGTATTCTTTATGTCGGTTACAGAGCCCCATGTGGGGGAGAATACACCCACGGCCGCTTAACAAGCATGACGTAAAAGGCGAGTAATTAGTTGTATTTCCTTCAGATTCAAAGTTCATCCGCCTGAGAGGCTAGGAACCAACAGCCTGAATATAAATAGCCAGCACTGTAAAACCGACGTGCATGCAAAAGTCATATTCTGGAAGAGGTCAAAGTCATGAAGTGGACAACAGCCATAACTTTCTGCTGGAGTTTACAGCCAGTGAATGGTGAGAAGAAGAAGAACGAGGAGGAGTTGAAGAAGAAAAAGATTATCGGTCGAACTCTTTGGTCACTCCTAGTTTCTTAAATGTAACTAGATCATCCCCAGCTAGTTCGTTACATTAAAACGTTTATAAAACTGCCAGTATTCTTGGTGTATTAATTTCGAGTCTGTTGTATTATTTAGAACAGTCTTGACACTGGAATAATAAATGTAAAGAACATAAGGTTAGGTTCACGTTAATCTCCCCAAATAGAGTAGGTCACTTTTCATTCACAAGTTTGTTGGGCTGGTCGACTTTCCTGAAGGTTATGGGTGTGCCCAGCTCTGATGTTTTCTGTGATATCTTGCATTTACGTTTTCATTTCGAGAAAGAGAATACCTGTGACGTAGGTTGCAGCACTCTCTAGGTGGATTGTGTAAGGGCCAGTTTCTCCATGTTTTTAGACTGTTAAAAGCGCTGGCGTGCTGAAATATACCACACGCGATATCAACGGCATTGCCGAACACCCCCGTAACCTTGTGCCAAGGTGACAGGTTCAGGACTACCAGTCAGAATCGAGCTAGTGTTTATATGTGCGGGGCCTTGGGAGACCAACGTTACTTTTACCGGACATAATTATAGATTGGAGCACACACTTTCCACATTGCACGTTGCCTAGTTTTCAAATATATTGTGCAGTGGGAGGACATTTGGTTCGTTACATTTGAACACGTGTACAATTTCCTAGTGCTGTGGTGCCTTCATTTCGAGACTCTGTGGTGGAATCATTTCGACACGGGAATCGTGTGACTGGATTCTGGGTCTGTCTGTAACCATGACTACGGTATACATATCGTCACACGCAAGTGCGTCATGGTATGCTACGCATGATCACTGATGTGGAACGTGGCGTGACACTCTGTACTTCTGTCTGTGTTTGTTGTTGGCGTGCTATCTGTATTTGTGCTTGTCTGCGTGTATTTATGACCTCATGTTTGCTGCTTATAACAGCAGATTGTAGATGTGTCAGAGTTAAATGTAGAATATCTCTAGCATATGCAGCATGTCAAATCAGTTCTGTTGTATGAGGGGGCTGCGTGGTCTCGAGGCATGGTGTCCGCCTCAAGTGCTAGAGGTTCCGGGTCCAATCCCCGGTAAGGGCTGGGATTTTTTTCACGTGGACTTGGACTTCTAGTAATTCTCCCTGGTCTCTGGCTATTGAGATCCGACATTGTTGCGCACGTACAAAATCCCTTGGCAGTTGGAAATCGAAAAGAGTAGCCTAACTGCGTTGCCCGGGCAAAATTTTGAGTTAAAGATCTACCCAAAGTATTTCAGGATCCTAGCGACTCAAACTTGAGTTAGAAGAAGGACGGAACATTTATGGGTGTTGGCCCACCCGTGTGCCATGATGTTGATCCGTTGTTCAAACTTCTTACTATTGTATAGAGCAGAAACACGGAGAAAAACTAAGGCAGTTACTAATAAACTGCAAACATTCATTAACTGGTGCCTGCGCAGAATAGAGGGAATTAAATGGTATGATAGAATCCCTTATGGTGAGTTTTGGGAGAGAACTAAACAAGTTCCACTAGACCAAGAGGTGAGGAAAAGACGCCGGCGTTGGATAGGACACACTTTGCGTAAACCTGAGAACAATATTACTAGAATGTCTTTGCACTCAAACGCTCAACTGCCAAGGGATATTTTACGTGAACAACAGTGCACACGGGCGTCAGATCTCACTACCCAGAGACCAGGGGGAATTACTAGAAGTCCAAATCCACGTGAAGAAATGCCAGCTCTTACCGGGAATTGAACACGGAACTTCTAGCACCATGCCTCGAGACCACGCATTTCCCCTTTTTTGGATCGAAATGCTACAGAAAGATTCTTGGAATATCGTGAACTAAGAAGAACGAGAACGTTGACATCCTGCCTGACATGAACATCAAGGAGAACTGGCTCATCAACAGCACCCGAAAGCTGGGGTGTTTTGGACATGGCAAGTGCTATGGTGGTCTGGAGTTAGGTAGGTAAGTTCTACCCCACCAGGACATCACACAAGCGACAAACACCTGTTGACACAAAGTGCCACCATGTGGATGAGGATCACCCGTGGAGAGGCCCCAGATACCCCGTTCAGCCGTTACGCCATATTTAATATTTAAGGCCCGAAAGAGTGCAGTTTCCGCAAAAAAAGGTAGACGCCGACTTGTGTTAACGCGGATACAGGAGTTTGAAGAGACATTGTCTGTGAAAGCACATAGGGCTGTCCGAACGTGGATACAGGACTTTGAAGACACATTGTCTGTGAAAGCACATAGGGCTGGAGAGTGGGCTAGAGAAAGAGAGACATTCAGGTGTGCCGGGAAGAGAGCGACGTTCTGTAAAGCAGTTGCTGATTGATTGAAAGTCAGTCAGCCAGCCTCTTTCATGTCTGTTTAGTTTTTTTACTTCCCAGTCTTTCTCGGCGATCTCCCGGGATCGTCGTATGAGCTACAGAGATAGTGTTTTGTTCGGCACAGGCGGCTAGCTGTTCTGCGGAGAGAGACTGAACCGTTTGGGAAACACCTAGTGTAGTCAAGACTTCGTGTACAGAAAGCCATGTAGCCCAGTGGCCGCATCTCTTGGGTTCAGATCTGCAACAGTACAAATTAAGCAAACAAACAAAAATTTGCTCACAGGTCGACACTTAAACAAAAAAATTGACCTTGGCTCACAGGTCGACCCCTTTTGTTGTTGTTGACCTTGGCTCAGAGGTCGACCAACCATGAGTATCAGAAAACGTTCGGACTACATCATCCACATGTCGGAGTAACTGTTACATTCATTTTATCAGCAGCAGCCGTTATGTAGCAGTTGGAAGCTCGCCTGCGAATCAGAAAGTCGTGGGTTCAGATCCTGTCGGAGCCGGGTTGTTCCTCCCTCCCTCCCCCCACCCCCAAGAAATGACCTTGACTTTCAGGGCGAACCGGTCTTAAATGGGGAACACGCAAAGTCTTGGGAAGTGTCGGCATGGAAATGTAAAATATAGGTCTCGCCCTAAATGCACAGTACTCCTGAAGGCGTAGAAAAAGATCCTCTATAATCGTGTATCATTCCCGCCTTCACATTTCTTTCTGACTCCCTTTCTGTTTCTGCCTGCTGCTTCTTTCCTGTTTGTTTTCCTTACTGTTTCTTGCTTTCATCCTTCCATTTTATTTATATTATTTCTTACTTGTTCTTCCTTCTCGTGTGTCGCCATTCCTGTTTCTGTTTCTTTCTGTCCTTTATTTGTAACGTCTTCTTTCAACTATCTTTTAGTCTGCCTTCATCTTTCTTTCTGTATTTGTCTGCTTTCTTTCTTTCTTTCTTTCTTTCTTTCTTTCTTTCTTTCTTTCTTTCTTTCTTTCTTTCTTTCTTTCTTTCTTTCTTTCTTTCTTTCTTTCTTTCTTTCTTTCTTTCTTTCTTTCTTTCTTTCCTTTCTTTCTTTCTTTCTTTTCTTGATCTTGTTCTTTCTTTCTTTCTTTCTTTCTTTTCTTTCTTTCTTTCTTTCTTTCTTTGCTTTCTTTCTTTCTCTTTCTTTCTTTCTTTCTTATTTTTCTTTCTTTCTTTCTTCTTTCTTTCTTTCTTTTCTTTTCTTTCTTTCTTTCTTTCTTTCTTCTTTCTTTTCTCTTTCTTTCTTTCTTTCTTTTTTCTTTTTTTCTTTCTTTATCTTCTTTCTTTTCTTTCTTTCTTTCTTTCTTTCTTTCTTTCTTTCTTTCTTTCTTTCTTTCTTTTCTTTCTTTCTTTCTATCTTTCTTTCTTTCTTTCTTTCTGTTTGTCTTTCTTTGTTTCTTTCCTGTCTTTCTTTCTTTCTTTCTGTCTTTCTTTCTTTCTTTTCTTAGGTTCTTGTATGTTGAGCTGTATGTCTTTATGGTTATATGCCTCTTCCGCTATAAGTCCGATGTGCGTATATGCATATGTTGGAGATAATGATTGTTTCAGCTGACGACACAGTTAATCTCATGTTTCCTGTCTCTGCCTGCAGCCATGATGTCATCCACCCTGGTGGAGACAGTCTCCATCAACTACGACGACTTTAACGACAGCTTTCTCACCTGCGGTACCTGTCTCTGCACCTACGACGGTCAGGAGCGCTCCCCCAAACTCCTCCCCTGCTCACACACTGTCTGCAGGAACTGTTTAGAACGAATCATCGCCTCACAGACTTTAGACACCGGCTCCTTCCGCTGCCCAATATGTCGAGAGACCATCCACACTCCACAAGGCGGCGTTGTTGCCTTCCCGCCATCCTTCATCGTCAACCAGCTCCTGGACTTGATGGCTCAGCAGCGAAGGGATGTCATCCCTAAGTGCTCGGTCCACAACACACAAGAGTTATTATTCTGTGAAACTTGCGACCAGGTCTTCTGCCTACAGTGTGTGGAGGGCAGCCATATAGAGCGTGGAGCTAGTGAACATACTGTTATTCCCTTTGCCATCGCCATCAAAAGGATGTCAGAGATACTGCTCTACAAGGCTCACCTGTGTATCAAAAACTTGAACTCCGCCTACGAGGTGGTGTCTGATGAACTGCGGCAGTTAGAGCTTTCTGTGGATAAGGCGTTGGATTCTATCAACAGATCATTCCAGGTAGGTGATGCTACAACCTGTTTGCTTTGTTTGTTTGGATCATTTATAGGGGAGGGTTCTGGGAAGCCGCTTTATGGGGAAGGATGTGGGGGAATAGACTGTCCAACAAGCATGTCTAAAAGTTTAAGCAGTCTAATTAGGGGAGTCGGAGTGCATCTGTCTAAGATGCGAGGTACCAAAGGTACCAACAGTCTGCATACAAAAAGCTAGATCTGTAAAATCGATATGCACACACATCTCAGTTCAGGAGCAAGACTAAAGCTCAAAAGTAGACGGACAATCAGAACTTTCTGCCAGAGTTTGAAGCAAGTGAATGCTAAGAAGAAGGAGATCTTTTAGAGTTGGAAAAGCCCAAGGAGTTCACTCATCAAACCTTGGTCCGCAAACTGTTCCTCCCCATGACACTTCATGGCACAGGTGGAAACTCATGTTGATGATCATCGCAATCTTTAGGGCCCTGGCTTTAGGGAAGCCACTGGCGGTCATGTTAATCCACTTTTCTCTTGAATATTCACTTCTCTCACGACTGTTCTCCACTCTGAAGACAGCCCACTCATTCCATGACTGTCCACCCTTCTCATGATTATCCACTCCTACCATAACTATCTACTCATCCCATGATTGTTCACTCCTCCCATGATTATCCACTCCTCTCATAACTATCTACTCATCCCATGATAATCAACTCCTCCCATAACTGTTACTTATCCCGTGATAATCCACTCCTGCTATAACTATCTACTCATCCCATGATAATCCACTCCTACCATAACTGTCTACTCATCCCATGATAATCCACTCATACCATAACTATCTACTCATCACATGATTATCCACTCCTTCCATAACTATCTACTCATCACATGATTATCCACTCCTTCCATAACTATCTACTCATCACATGATTATCCACTCCTTCCATAACTATCTACTCATCACATGATTATCCACTCCTTCCATAACTATCTGCTCATCACATGATTATCCACTCCTTCCATAACTATCTGCTCATCACATGATTATCCACTCCTTCCATAACTATCTGCTCATCACATGATTATCCACTCCTTCCATAACTATCTACTCATCACATGATTATCCACTCCTTCCATAACTATCTACTCATCACATGATTATCCACTCCTTCCATAACTATCTACTCATCACATGATTATCCACTCCTTCCATAACTATCTACTCATCACATGATTATCCACTCCTTCCATAACTATCTACTCATCACATGATTATCCACTCCTTCCATAACTATCTACTCATCACATGATTATCCACTCCTCCCATAACTATCTACTCATCACATGATTATCCACTCCTCCCATGAATATCCACTCATCACATGATTATCCACTCCTCCCATGAATATCCACTCCTCCCATGAATATCCACTCCTCCCATGAATATCCACTCCTCCCATGAATATCCACTCCTCCCATGAATATCCACTCCTCCCATGAATATCCACTCCTCCCATGAATATCCACTCCTCCCATGAATATCCACTCCTCCCATGAATATCCACTCCTCCCATGAATATCCACTCCTCCCATGAATATCCACTCCTCCCATGAATATCCACTCCTCCCATGAATATCCACTCCTCCCATGAATATCCACTCCTCCCATGAATATCCACTCCTCCCATGAATATCCACTCCTCCCATGAATATCCACTCCTCCCATGAATATCCACTCCTCCCATGAATATCCAGTCTGCCCATGACTCGCTGCTTCAGTCATGAATCTCCGTTCCTCTCATGGCTTGCTACTCACTCAGCTTGTGACTCTTTTGCTTCACTCAACTCATTTCTCCTATGACTCCCCCGCACTCATTCCACTCATGGCACTGCACTCATTCCACTCATGGCACTGCCCTCATTCCACTTATGGCACTGCCCTCATTCCACTTTTGGCACTTCCCTCATTCCACTTATGGCACTGCCCTCATTCCATTTATGGCACTGCACTCATTCCACTTATGGCACTGCCCTCATTCCACTTATGGCACTGCCCTCATTCCACTTATGGCACTGCCCACATTCCACTTATGGCACTGCCCACATTCCACTTATGGCACTGCCCTCATTCCACTTATGGCACTGCCCTCATTCCACTTATGGCACTGCCCACATTCCACTTATGGCACTGCCCACATTCCAGTTATGGCACTGCCCACATTCCACTTATGGCACTGCCCACATTCCACTTATGGCACTGCCCTCATTCCACTTATGGCACTGCCCTCATTCCACTTATGGCACTGCACTCATTCCACCTATGGCACTGCCCTCATTCCACTTATGGCACTGCCCACATTCCACTTATGGCACTGCCCACATTCCACTTATGGCACTGCCCTCATTCCACTTATGGCACTGCCCTCATTCCACTTATGGCACTGCACTCATTCCTCTTATGGCACTGCCCTCATTCCACTTATGGCACTGCCCTCATTCCACTTATGGCACTGCCCTCATTCCACTTATGGCACTGCCCACATTCCAGTTATGGCACTGCCCACATTCCACTTATGGCACTGCCCACATTCCACTTATGGCACTGCCCTCAATCCACTTATGGCACTGCCCTCATTCCACTTATGGCACTGCACTCATTCCACTTATGGCACTGCCCTCATTCCACTTATGGCACTGCCCTCATTCCACTTATGGCACTGCCCTCATTCCACTTATGGCACTGCCTACATTTCACTTATGGCACTGCCCTCATTCCACTTATGGCACTGCCCTAATTCCACTCATGACTGTCCACTCCACTCATGACTGTCCACTCCACTCATGACTGTCCACTCCACTCATGGCTGTCCACTCCACTCATGGCTGTCCACTCCACTCATGGCTGTCCACTCCACTCATGGCTGTCCACCCCACTCATGGCTGTCCACTCCACATATGACTGCCCACTCCACTCATGACTGCCCACTCCACCCATGACTGTCCACTCCACATATGGCTGCCCACTCCACTCATGACTGTCCACTCCACTCATGACTGTCCACTCCACATATGACTGCCCACTCCACTCATGACTGTCCACTCCACTCATGACTGTCCACTCCACTCATGACTGTCCACTCCACTCATGACTGCCCACTCCACTCATGACTGCCCACTCCACTCATGGCTGCCCACTCCACTCATGGCTGCCCACTCCACTCATGACTGTCCACTCCACTCATGACTGTCTACTCCACATATGACTGTCCACTCCACTCATGACTGTCCACTCCACATATGACTGCCCACTCCACTCATGGCTGTCCACTCCACTCATGACTGCCCACTCCACTCATGACTGTCCACTCCACTCATGACTGTCCACTCCACTCATGACTGTCCACTCCACATATGGCTGCCCACTCCACTCATGACTGTCCACTCCACATATGGCTGCCCACGCCACATATGGCTGCCCACTCTACATATGGCTGCCCACTCCACATATGGCTGTCCACTCCACATATGGCTGCCCACTCCACATATGGCTGTCCACTCCACATATGGCTGTCCACTCCACATATGGCTGTCCACTCCACATATGGCTGTCCACTCCACATATGACTGTCCACTCCACATATGACTGCCCACTCCACATATGACTGCCCACTCCACATATGACTGCCCACTCCACATATGACTGTCCACTCCACATATGACTGTCCACTCCACATATGACTGTCCACTCCGCATATGACTGTCCACTCCGCATATGACTGTCCACTCCACATATGACTGTCCACTCCATTTATGGCTGTCCACTCCACATATGACTGTCCACTCCACATATGACTGTCCACTCCACATATGGCTGTCCACTCCACATATGGCTGTCCACTCCACATATGACTGTCCACTCCACATATGGCTGTCCTCTACACTCATGGCTGTCCACTCCACTCTTAACTGTCCACTCATGTTCTGACTATATCACCTCTCTGTCATCTTAGAATTTAATCGTTGCTGTTATTTACATTGTCTTGCCTAGTTTAAAGCGTCTAGATATATTTTTACCTTCCTCTGCCTCTTTGTATCCAAGCATTTCCCTCCACACAGGACTAATTTCTATGTTCCACCCAGCAATCCATCTTTTCTCTCTCTTCTCCTTGTCTTCTTTTGTTCTACTGCTTATGCAATAAAGTGTTGCAGAGAGAGAGAGAGAGAGAGAGTTAGTTGTAGTTTCCTGTCTTTGGCTGGTTGCGTAGCTTGTGTTAATATCATGTTGCATTTCTTTAGTGACTCTTTTACTTCCTCCACCCATCTCTTTTTTGGTCTACCTCTCGCCTTGTGACCTGCTGTTGTCATGTAGTATGCTCTAGCTGCTGGCTGATTTTGTCCCATTCTGACCAGAAGACCAAACCATTTGATTCTTTGATCTTCTATGAAATTGTTTATCAGTACTTATTCTAAGTTCTACATTGGTAACTCAGTCTCCTGTTTTGTCCTACCACATTTCTTATATATCTGATCTCACACGTGGTCTTCTGTCAGTTACCCCATCACAGTGTTGGGAGGAGATCAAAGCGTCTTTATTGTGCTCTTTCAGAGTTGTCCTTCATTTCTTAATGGTTGTTTTTGATGCCGCCATTCCATATTCTGCGTTGTATTCGCCTTACATCTGTGTTCATTATATTTCTTAAGTGTGGTTCTCTGTGGCTGTTGCTACCAGTTCATTCCCATCAGATGGCCAAACCATTTCATCTGTTAGTAAATGTTCATTATATTTCTTAAGTATGATTCTCTGTGGCTGTTGCTACCAGCTCATTCCCATCAGATGACCAAACCATTTCATCTGTTAGTAAATGTTCATTATATTTCTTAAGTATGATTCTCTGTGGCTGTTGCTACCAGCTCATTCCCATCAGATGACCAAACCATTTCATCTGTTAGTAAATGTTCATTATATTTCTTAAGTATGATTCTCTGTGGCTGTTGCTACCAGCTCATTCCCATCAGATGACCAAACCATTTCATCTGTTAGTAAATGTTCATTATATTTCTTAAGTATGATTCTCTGTGGCTGTTGCTACCAGCTCATTCCCATCAGATGACCAAACCATTTCATCTGTTAGTAAATGTTCATTATATTTTCTTAAGTATGATTCTCTGTGGCTGTTGCTACCAGCTCATTCCCATCAGATGACCAAATCATTTCATCTGTTAGTAAATGTTCATTATATTTCTTAAGTATGATTCTCTGTGGCTGTTGCTACCAAGACACTCTCACCTTCTTCTTCTGTCTACCCCTGCAGCCCTCTCTCCTCCTTCCTCCCGCTCTTTCCCCCACTGCTATCACCCAGCCTAGAACACCCTTCCTTTCATTGCCGACATCATGACGGCTATTGCCCATGCAGGCAGGTTGTGTCCCACATCTGCTACACCAGTGGTTCTCTGCCTTCCTAATGCGGCGATCCTTTACTACAGTTCATTATGTTGTGATGACCCCCCCCCCCCCCCCCCCCCCCCTTCCAACCATACACTTATGGTTGAGAACTGCTGTGCTGCGCAGAAGTGTGGGGACAGGGGTAACAACCTAATCAGTGTTTCCCAAACTTGTCTTAGTCGCGGCCCCTTTTGTCAATTAAAATGTTTCCACGGTGCCCTAACCTAAGTAAAAGTATGACTATTCTTATGTAAGAGATAATATTCAAACGTGTATCTTCGAATATTTTGCGGCGCCAATGTCAAGAGGTCGCGGCTCCCCAGGGCACACTTTGAGAATCACTGGCCTATATTAATTATTTATTGCTATTATTGTTATTGGCCAATTGTTATCTGATAACTAGGCTGGTGTTATTGATTCCTGCCTGGTAGCACAAGCCAGTGATAGCAAACTGTCTCTGCAGTGGAGGTAACATAGTGACCCAGCGCTCCCTTGTCCCTTGCCGGCCCAAAGATCTTGAGTTCGAATCTGCATTGAAGCTGGTTTTTGTCAAAATTTACATTTTCTCTGAAATGTGGGAATCAAAAGGAGGATTCAGGCTTTCGAATGTAAAAGCTACAGATGCATTTTATGAATTAGTTATTTAGAACAGAAAACTAAAAAAAACATACCAGAGACAAAATATACAAATTTGCGGGACATCAGGAGTCTCTCTTGGCAGTGGTGAAACGTCGCAAGCTAGCTTGGTTCGGGCACCTGGTGATACATGATTCGATGTCAAAGACTGTACTTCAAGGAACATTGGGAGGTAGTCGAAGAAGAGGAGGGCAAAGAAGAATCTGGAATGACCTAATTAAGAAATGGAAATGACTAAGTTATCATTCACTTATTCATCAAGTGGAGAAAGAGAAAGATGGCGGGTTTTATGTGCTAGTGCTTTCATCAGTACACTTCCACGACCCTAATGGGTCAAGGGTTATGTTATGATATGTTACCTTGGCTCTCAAATTGACCCAGCCGGTGCTTTATTATTATCCTACCCCAGATTTCACAGGACAGTCCAACATTTTAGAGGGTGGTAAGACTGGGTTTCCCGGCTTTCTGATGCTTTTAATGACCCCAAAACATCTAGAACTAGCCCTAACCCCAACCCACCTATGTCCCATGAGAGAGTGCAGCCTAGGTCCCACGACTGCATGCAGCCTAAGTCCCACGACTGCATGCAGCCTGTCTACCACCCCCTCAAAAATTAGACTGTCCCAGACCTCTTGATTTTCCCTGTTTGGGGTAGGATATTAATAAATCACCAACCAGTCTAAAATTGGTGTTCTGAGAAGTAAAGGCGGTTGCAGTGATGTTGATCACATCACCCTTCGAAGAGTGTGGCCTAGGTGGGCATACACTACACGGGCGACTGGAAATACAGCCACAGAAGAAAGTCAAACAGTTAGTTCTGCTAGTTCTAGCATATTGATGGAGATAGCAACAAGGGCACTTACATGGCTGTCGGAACAGACAGTAACTCACACACTGATAGTGACAGACTCATTCAGCGTGCAGTATTCCTCATGGTTGTTCACGTATTCTTTTACAGCCACGTTCTATTTTTCCTCAGTGCCGTCCACATACAGTCCAACAACATATTCTTCATTTCTATACACATATTCATCTGTCTCACTCCCATCCACATATTCTTTCTCATGCCCAATTCATTTCTTTCTTTCATTTCATTCTTCCTTTACTTCTGCATACAGTCTGATGTGTGAATGACCACCAGGGTGTGTTTGTTATGACTGTTGTTACAATTATATGATTTTCTATATAATTTTCTGCCACAAGGATGTGATTATTATGACTGTTGTTACAGTGATTTGAATTTGTAGAAGTTTTGTTTCTGCCACCAGGATGTGATAGCTGTGATTGAGCGGCGCCGTCACGACTGTCTCCAGTGGGTGAGGAAGATCAGGGAGGAGAAGAAGACCATCCTGAGAGAACAGCTGGAGCTGATACAGGCAGAGAAGGAGAAGGTGCAGCTGGAGTGTGACGGGCTTCAGTATCAGGTAAAACATAGGTGATGGGCTTCAGTATCAGGTAAAACATGGGTGATGGGCTTCAGTATCAGGTAAAACATGGGTGACGGGCTTCAGTATCAGGTAAAACATGGGTGATGGGCTTCAGTATCAGGTAAAACATAGGTGATGGGCTTCAGTATCAGGTAAAACATGGGTGATGGGCTTCAGTATCAGGTAAAACATGGGTGACGGGCTTCAGTATCAGGTAAAACATGGGTGATGGGCTTCAGTATCAGGTAAAACATGGGTGACTGGCTTCAGTATCAGGTAAAACATGGGTGACGGGCTTCAGTATCAGGTAAAACATGTGTGACGGGCTTCAGTATCAGGTAAAACATGGGTGACGGGCTTCAGTATCAGGTAAAACATGGGTGATGGGCTTTAGTATCAAGTAAAACATGGGTGACGGGCTTCAGTATCGGGTAAAACATGGGTGACGGGCTTCAGTATCAGGTAAACATGGGTGACAGGCTTCAGTATCAGGTAAAACATGGGTGACGGGCTTCAGTATCAGGTAGGACCCAAGTAATGGGCTGTAATATCAGGTAGGACCTGGCTGATGAGCTGTAATATCATCAGACCCAAATAACAGGCTGCAGTATCAGGTAGGACCCAAGTAATAGGTTGCAGTATCAGGTAGGACCCAAGTAATAGGTTGCAGTATCAGGTAGGACCTGGGTGATGAACTGTAATATCATCAGACCTGAATAAAAGGTTGCAGTATCAGGTAGGACCTGAGTGATGAGTTGTCAGTGTAATGGGCTGCTGTATCAGGTAGGACCAGAGTGATGAGTTGTCAGTGTAACGGGCTGCCGAATCAGGTAGGACCTGAGTGATGAGTTGTCAGTGTAACGGGCTGCCGAATCATAAAGGACCTGAGTGATGAGCTTTGAGTGTAACGGGCTGCTGTATCAGGTAGGACCTGGCATTACTGTCACATAATTCAGCTGGGCTCATGTGAGGGTATCAGTTGATAGTAATATTGATGTACAGTCAACTTTCCTTGCCCAACTGGTTTAGTTGGTGTGCATTCACATTTACAAATCTTGCAACTAATTTACATTATCATTTACAGCAGTTTCAGCTAAGCATATGTGATCAAACTAGGAAGAATTTAACAAACTGGCTCCACGAAAATCTTAGGACATCTAGGGGGAGGCTAATAAACCATTTCAACAGCCAGTGATGTGAAGCTGATATTTCTGTCGCTGCCATGCAATCTTGCTCCAGCAACCATATCACCCATCTTTACTTGGAAAATCACCTTATCTATAGTTCAGATGTTCTTAATCTAGCAGGGGTCAATGGTTAACAGTTGTTCATTGGATGTAAATATATCTAATATGTGTGGCTTTGTTTTGTTTTTATTTTTCAATACCATTTCCTGTCTTTCTTGTCTGTTTTTCAGTTTCCCTCACCTCTTTCTTTATGTAGATTACTTTTCTGTCGATCAGTCAGGTGCTATCTCCACATTGAAGGTTGGCTGCATTAGATTTTCAATACGCTGTGTCTATTGACCTCTCTGTACACTGCTGTTTCTCCATCTCATGTTTTCCTCACACTTGTATCGCTGTCTGACTCTTGTTTGCTTGTCTTAAAATTTTTGCTCTGGTGTGGGTTTTATACGAGATTTATTTCTTTTAATATTGTATTGCCAAAATATTTCCCTTGTCTCTCTTTTATTGAAAATATGAATGGATATGGTTTGAAAACGTAGAACCCCACATACAATGTCAGCACATTTTATGAGAATGGAGATAGAGGCGGTAATGGCTGCTTTACAATGGCTTGAGGGTAGCGCAGCCTGAAATGTTGTAATTGTAACGGACTCACAGATTATGCTTCGGAAAATTGAAACTGGTATCCTGAATGCAGAATGGCTTGCATCAATTGATAAGACTCGGATCATGAACATATAATATATTTTCTGTCCAGAATATTCAGGTGTGCGAGGTAACAAGCAGGCAGATAGATTAGCTGCTGCCGCACATCTGGGCTGTGATCTACTTTAAGTTCGGTGAGCTGGTCCGGGTATCTAGTGGAAAAGAGTTTCTTATCCCTTTGAAAAGTCCATCGTGTACGAATTGTCTGCCAGTGTCTCTCTGCCAACTGCTAATAACAGTCCAATATGTGTCCGGTAAACCAAAGTAAGCTTGTCGCTCGGAGAACGGTTCCGGTCGTCCAGGCACGCTGACTGTTCTAATTAAGCTGCCGTGGCGACTTCTATCTCACAGTACTCCTTCGAAACCACTAAGTCGTCTTGTCTCTGGCCGAAAGTATAACACCATCCGGTAATCTGTGCAGCGGGGAAGCAGCCCTGAGTGTCATGAACTCAGGTGGGCCCACCGATCCGAATACGTTTAGGAATCGTGGGCCGAAACGTGTGTCAAAAGAGGATAATTTAATTTCTACTGATGACTGTAGATCCCCGCTGTACTTGCTCCCTGTGAGTTTATTCTTATTGTACGTGGCTAGCCCACAAGACTACCAGGAAAGACTGGTGACTATCGGGAAAGACCTTTTGTGACACCTATTGGAAATACGGACTGCGCCCCCGGTATCGCCGGGGGGATAAACTGACATCTGGAGACAGATGTCGACTGTGGACCGGGTTGATCAACCCCTAACACAGTATAATACCTCTCCGAATTCGAACAACCACAATGAAATATGCCCCCAGGGCCCTCCGAAAGGGGGGAGAATGAAGGGCCCAATCTGATTGATACCCTCGTTGATGACTTTGCTCCACCCGGACTGAGAACAACTCGGCCCAACCCGTCGGGTCTGGCTCTGTACATGGTGGGAAAAAGCTTCACACGTGTTGCATGGTCTGAGAACGCATGGCCGGAAGAATGAAATGCGAGGGGCCTCCAGCAGTAAACGCCGCG